GACTTTATTTTATTCCTTTATTGAGAGAAGGTATATGGGCGAAAACGATCGAGCGACCAAACTCTACTGAGAGTCCGGCAAGAAAAAAACGCTTCTTTTATACCCTTCTTGGGTTCGTCTTATCCACCAATCGGAGACGTTTATTTGTCGCGTTTCACATTGTATACGTGACGCTGGGATCCCCAAACAGTCAGGGCACGATGTGTATCTAATGGTACCGGTGATGATGTATCGCGGTATCTACTATATACAGTTTACATCGCCGTCGTTGCCCGCTGACGGAACCGACGAAAATGTAAACCGATATCTTAGTATCTTAGTACTATAGATTAATTTTTGTTCGTTGTTAAAATTTCCTTTTTTTTCAACAGTTTCCATTTGACAACGAATCGCGACACATCGACTATCAGATAGTTTAACGCCGCCTTGAGAGTAACTGTCAGACGCAGTGTCAATCGGCGAGAAGCACTCCCGAGAGCAAGTTGCGATAGTTTCACTGTCAAATGGACCCGTACCATAATACTGAAGGGACGTTAGGAAATAAGGATCGCGTGTGTGCATACGGTGTGCATATGGATATGCGTGAGCGAAAGACACGAGGTACGAATGCGCGCGTGTGAGAGAGAGAACGGTTGGTTTGGAAAGGCAATGAGCGGACACAGTCGTTGGGTGTATGCGAAAGGGTGACTGAGAGAGGGGGAGAGAGAAAGAGAGAGAGAAAGAGAGAGAGGGAAAGAGAGAGAGAGAAAGAGAGAGAGAACGAGAGAAAGAAAGAGAGAGAAAGAGAGAGAGAACGAGAGAAAGAAAGAGAGAGAAAGAAAGAGAGAGAAAGAAAGAGAGAGAAAGAGAGAAAGAGAGAGAGAGAAAGAGAGAGAGAACGAGAGAAAGAAAGAGAGAGAAAGAGAGAGAGAAAGAGAGAAAGAGAGAGAGAAAGAGAGAAAGAGAGAAAGAGAGAGAGAGAGAAAGAGAGAGAGAGAAAGAGAGAGAGAGAGAGAGAGAAAGAGAGAGAGAGAATGTGCGTGTAAGCGAAATAAAAAATCGGAGATCATATTTAAGGAGCAAGTTTTGACTAATTTGCCTTAATCAATTCCTAAAACCATGGGAAATATTCATCCACTGAGAGGTGATCGTTCCTGAAAAAGATCACCCTGTATAAAAATGAACAAACCGATATCTTAGTATCTTAGTACTAAGTAAACTATAGATTAATTTTTGTTCGAGGCTAAAATTTCAACAGTATCCACGACCGTAACAGAAAATTTTCGTTTGTGCAATCGGCAAATCAAAGAATAAACGGGAACTGAACTCTATTCCAACGTTTCTCCATAACTTGAACGCCGAGCGAAATAAAGTACATTAAACCCTCATCCGGCCCTCATTTTTCCGACTCAATACGTCCCCTGTGCTTCGTGCGTCAAATCGACACTATCGTAAAAGGTCAATATGATAAGAGGAAAACAATTTCTTTTAAAAATTATTTTATTGAAAATAATGGAAACTTATTCACGCAATGTTCTCTTCACACTATTCGCATAAAATGAAACGATGTGTCAGATAAACTGCTTTTTTAGAGTCTTTGTGTCGTTCACAGTTTAACACGCATAGCAAAGTGATTACTGAATTCATCCTATTTGTAGTATTAGATTTGAACTCTCTATAGCTTCAATAGTTATTTCTTCGACAAAGAAAGAAAATTTTTCATATTTTTTCATTATTTTTTTTTCGTAACAAATATTACCACATCTTGACATTACATGTATATATAATATAAAAGTCATTCAATCCGGGATCGATTTTCTTAAAAATGACACAATAATATAGTTCAAAACTTGAAAATAGCGTCAAATTTGCATCAGGAACGAATGAGGGTTAATAACGCCAGTATTCAATCATAAATGTAAATACGTTATAAAAATGTATAACCATTTAATTATCTTCAATTATCTTTAAATATCCTCGAGTATTGTGAAACATTTCCATGAAAGAAGTTTCATTTGGTGAATACAATTATTATGGTTTTAAGCGTGAAACGTACAACGTGAAAGCGTACTCTCGAAGAATTATGCTCAAGTTATGCCTCGCGATAGAACCGTAACTCGCGACGTGTTGACATCGCGTTTACGATTAATGAATAGATAAACGTAATGCCGAGTGAGTCTCTACAAAACAGTCCGTTACGAATGAAATATTATTACCACGGCTTGATCGCAGATGTCAAACTGTTCGGCCGTGAAAACCACACGCGAGCGCGTACGCACGACTGTGAAAAGTCACGCTCGCACGAAACTACACAATTGCGAGGTCCGCGCCGTGTTTCTGGCCCGTGGTCAACGTGAATGCAGTTAATAGCATGATATAAAATCGTCGGTATAAGAGCGGCGACGTGGTCGAAAAATTCGAGAAAGTAAAACTTACAAACTTATACTTCCGGAGTAAGAAGGATATTGAAACTTTATTATTCGAGGAGCGTGCACATTGCACATGTTCTGGAAGTTATGCGAACCGAAATTTCTCTCAGGCACGCGAGCATATACTTTCTACGATCTCCGCCGGAACATGAACACCATCAAATTTTTTAATGAAGCGATAATTAAACCTTTGCACTCGAAGCCATTTTAACCGTAAATCTAAAATAATTTTTAGTGACTTATGGTATTTCCATATTTATATGACGAAGTGCATTTTATGCATATGAAATTGAATCTCGCGATAACTTGTGATGACAGTTACACTTTTAACGATTTTTTAAGTTTAAACTTCGTTAATATAAAAATTATCTTAGAACGCGAACTAACAATTTTAGTGGTGCCTCAGAGTCACCACTCGAGTGCAAAGGGTTAAGCGAATTCGCTCGTTGAAGTTTATCAGTCGATATGAAAGCATAGTTGATAATTCGTATTTTTTTATATTCTCTACAATTTGTAAATGTTGTCGTTCGTAATAGCGATATTCCAAATTTCGAAAACGATCTTCGTTTTACAGTTTTAATGTAAAATTACGATTTGTCAAAGTTCTGGTCAGATGCTGTTGAATTCAATCAAGCTTGACCGCGTAAGTTCGAGTTTGCTTAGATTGAATTCAACTTGAACGAATCCTATGAAGGCTCCGCGTACATAAAGTTGATGGCCTAACACGCACATTTGGAAGATCGTATCTTCTTGAAGGGTGTGGAGACATTCCACATATGTATTTAACGCGGTATTAAATAAAATTGCTAGTAACAAGCATCGCCAGATGGACATTAATCCATCTTGTTAACGTAACTTTATGCAACGTAATCTGCAAGATTTGTATATAGTATAGTATTTCATACGTAGATCTTACACGGGAAGTTACTCAGATGTTCGATTTTAATAAAATAACAATTAGAAATTATAGTATTCGAAAAAAAATCTCGTAAACACTCGGATAAAAATAAAACAAACTGACACGTGTCTTTTAATATTTCATGTGAGGAGACAAATAGCACTGCTACTTTTTTAATGTGTGGGCACCTTCAAGGTTATTTCAAAAAATATAGGCTTATGATAGAAAAAGCAATATAACCTTGAAATAATCTTGAAAACGCCCACGCATTAAAAAACTCGTAGTACCATTTGACTGTCCACTCGAAATATTAAAGGATATGTGCCAGTTTGTATTTTTTATATCACGTGTCTACGAGATCTTTTACAATCTTAACTTAAATTATTAATATGTATGTTAATGCATTTCTAATTTCTCTATTCGTTATAGGAAAATTGATTAAATAACATTTTTCCAATTTTTACAATATCGAAATGCAACTTGAATTTCGGGAGGAGTAGATAAAAAAGTGTTCAACGTCCACCCGAGTTTTGTTTGTCTATTCTAGTCGTTATATGTACTTCTCGCAAGATTGTAAAAAAACCCAGAAAGTAAACATACGAAAAAAGGTCGTTTAAAACCATTTTCAGAATTACTTACGGCGGACTTTGACTCCATTTTTCTAACGAATAACAAATTTTCCGGACGAATGACACTCGTATTAGTTAATAGGATGTGGAACACTATAATTTCTAATCATTAGTTTTTCTAAACTAATTGGAGAAACCTGAATAACTTCCCTTGTTAATGTAGTTAAAAGAATCTCTACGAATAAACATTTACAAAGAACTGAACGAAGATCTGATCATTATCGATAGCGCTTCCTTATTTCTTTTTTAATAGCTTTGAACCTATCGAATTTGTTGTCCCGACTTTTTTTGATAAGTACATAATTATTGCAGTTGCGCTATTGCACAGTTTTCTTAATTTAACTAATTGCTGATTGAAATAAGAGTACTAAATATGTATTTGAATTGTGTAAAATTTCGCTCTGATAATATTTATTTTTGTTGACTTATATATCATTGAATATTATTTGTATTTTTAATTTTTTGAGGTATATTTAGTAAAATTTAGTAATAAAATTGGTACTATTACGTAAGGTTAAATTTTACCTGCCCCATAAAAAATGGTGCTAGGAAATGTCTCTTCAAAATTCATTTATATCGTATAACGAATATTCGTTATTGTATATGTATTTTTACAATTATATTCTTACTTATAAATGTCATTGAACAAATAATATTGCTAAATTTTGGTGTCAACGAGATCATCAAATCATAAAATTGGGCATAAATCATTTTAACCCTAGAAAGATAACCATATGACAACGTACGTAAAAGATAACCATACGCTTCAGAGGCGCATGCTTTTCTAAGGCGTCAATTTTATACTAACAATGGATATTTATTCAAGTTAATCTAGTCATTTCAAAGGTTTGGCATTATCGTAAAAATAAAATGCATTTATATTATATTTTTTTATATTTTAAGTAATTTTAAACTTAAATCACTAGACCTCTATGAAAAATTAACAAAAATCAACAGTCTTCGCAGGCGCCTCTGCGACGTAGGTTATCTTTCTCGGGTTAATGAGAAAACATGTTTTACCGTTTCCAAGTACTTTCTGCGCATGGGGTGACGTTTTTCCTCATAACCACAGAAATATCCCAATGCTTGTGAACTAAGGTCTATTCCATACTCGCTGGAATAATTCTTTCCTAGGATTTATTTGCTCGGAGTTACTCAAGCGCGCACGTTGTCGAAGTTCGCGCAGAGAATTATCGTTGAATACCACCGCATCGATCTCTTAAACACGAAAATAAACGCGAAAGCGCGCGGAGAAGGAGGCCGCGTTTCGAATACTAAAGACTCCGACGAAAGCCTCGGAACAGGTTCTTTTAACTAGGTCTTTTAATTTCGCGGATCAGGAGCTAGCTCGGGGCCGGGCAATCTCGCGTCGCAACATAAACGCGAATCAGAAAGACGATTGGTTTCGGGGTAAATAGCTCTTGAGCCGCGACCCTCGTAAAATCCTGTAAGGATATTGGCTGTCCGGAATAGAGGAACGAACAGCGAACGCGAGACGCCGAGGGTTTTGTTGGTGCCGGCCGAATGTCGTGCGCGCGAAATATATAAACGGCGCGGCGCGGCCTGGCGAACAGAGGCGAACAGAGGCGTTGATTCCCCATGAAATTGTGGAAACGCGCGCGACGGTGGCCGTGCCCGATTCCCCCTCGTTTTCGTCAGTGGAAATTCCGCTTGCGCCGAAAGAGACGGAATCGTTCGATCAAACCGTGCGATACGGATTCCCTTTTACGAGCAAGAATGCCGCTCGTTCGTCCCCGCTCATAAACGGCAATTCCGTCCGGTAACAGGCGAATTTCGCTCGAATCGATTCGCTTTAAACGCGCTCGTGATCTGATTTACATTGGCTCGGTCGTTGCACGAATTTGTCGTGAATTTGTACGCCACGCTCGCCCGCAACCCCTATCGTGCCCGATACTACGCTGGTAGACCGTTCGCGCCGCAATTTTCCCTTTGGAAATGTTTTGCAGACCGAGGCGTCCCTGATGTACGACGCCGTACACCTGTTCGCGAAAGCGCTCCACAATTTGGATACCACGCAGCAGATCGACATCAACCCGCTGTCCTGCGAGTCGACCGACACCTGGCCCCACGGATACTCGCTGATCAATTACATGAAGATCGTGAGTACCATCTGTGTTTTTTCATTCAGACGCGTCGATGTTCGTACTTTCGTATGTCAGTTGTTTAGGGTTTTGTTCTTGAAAGACTGTACTATTTTATTTCTCTTTCGTTGATCTCTTCGAAGATTATTCGAAGGATCACTTTGTTTCTTTAAATGAAAATCTATATTTTTATTTACATATTGCTATTCTACGCGGAGAAAGAATAAACTTTCGTACGAGACATTTTTTAATCAAATTTTACCTTACAATGATATTTAATGAAATGAAAGATTTATTTATTTATGAAACTTCTTTATTTTTTTATGACTGGTCGCTGTGAGAAGTCAATAACGATTGTACTTTTCGCGTCGCTTTTTTACTGCAGCGACTATTTCAATTCTTCGTGTAGTAAAAATGTCACGCGGGAAAGTGCAATTGTTATTGATTTATCAACACGCGGTCATAAATAAGAAACGAAGTTCCATAAGCAAACGAATAATTTTTTCTTCTCGTAGACTAAAAATCTATGAATAAAAATATAGGTTTCCGTATAAAGAAACAAATATATCCTTCAAATCGCCTTAAAAGCGATCGATGAAACAGAAATAAATCGTATTTCACCCTTGAAATCGAGTAATTTTTGTATTTAACGCTTGTCCCGAAAATGTGTTGTTTTCGAGATATATTTAGATTTAAAGGTTCCAAACGAGAACATCCCATATGCATACTCACGGAGAACATAGCAGGTAACGCTTTGAAGAAGATAGATCGTCGGAAGTAATTAATCTGTTTAAAATAAAATTTGATAAAACATTGTATCAACATAAATCTTATAAAACAAAAATTGCTAATTTTAAATGTGAAAATTCAATTAAAGTTTAATGTTTAAAAGTACCATAATTATCAGCAGTTTTGCAATGTCCTCTCTGAGGAGACACTTGAGTGCAAATGCTTCCGATTTCTTCTTTAACACGTTCCGTGCCAAGCCATTTTTGCCTAACTTGTCGTTCAGGCCATTTGATGTTTTGACTAAAGATTGATACATTATCACATAATATTTCATTATATCATCAGTAGATAAGTAGTGATTGCCCGAATCAACCGTTTTTATGCAGCTCTTGCTTTAAAAGAGTCAAACATTGTAATTAATAGTTATTGTGTATATAACGATTAAACAAATTTATGTGCTTTGTTCTATACAGCATTTTTTACAATGCCTCTCATCCTTTTGGTGGAAATATATTTTATACAATCAAATTTGTCACAAAATGTATGTCTTCAGCGCTTTAA